AAGTGGACCAAATGACCTACAAAGGCTTTTCCATATCTACCTGTCACAAATCCTTCACATGTTTCCTAAATGGTTTTAGTTGAGGAGCATCCTGCTTCATTTAAAGATCTTAGTCATCTACTAGCCATTATATGTTATTTTAAATTGCCAGTATTATGCCGCAATTATACCAGTTAGTCTATGTGCTCATATCAGACATAGCTGATTATGCCCTGGGATATCTAAGTACTGCTTTTGCCAGAAAAATAGTCTATAAGTCTTAGTTTCACACTGTTAACAAATAAAGAAGCCTTGATGTGAAATTGACAAGTCAGAGGGGGAAAGAAAAATCTACTACTTAGCTGACTTTAGGCTGGGGACATAACCAGTACAAGAAAAAGAGGGGTCAGATCCCGGGTGGGAACACTCTTCATTGTATCTCCATATAAGTTCCTTAGAATGAAATATGGCTCTATATGAAGGGTGGGATCCCTTCTAGAAGGATTTATCTGGATAAGGGTGATCGGGGGGAAAAAAGAGGGGTTCCCATTTTCCTCCTTCCTTGACAGTAAACAAAAGGAAAATACTATTAAAGTATGTTCCACTGTTTAGAATAGTTAGTGACTTCACAGAAAGTTTGGAAACTTTGCTGACAAATTTGGGAAAGTAAAATGAAAGCTGATATTTGACCTATACACATATACTCTACTCCAACTTTCAAAATAAGCCACAATGGAGAACAGAAGAGCTTGATGGAATCTATAAGAACTTACTTTTCACACAAGCATCTGGATGATCCTACCCAGTGAAGTCTTTATCTATGCTACTTCCAGAAGAGGAAGCTACACTGTGACAGAGAGTCGTGGAAGATGGGAGAAGTCACCATTACTGTCAGCAGAAGTTACTGCTGACTGATGGAGACCAAGAGCTCCAAAAACTTACTAAATCAAATTTAATAAAAAATATGTTTGAACAACAAAAGGATCCTGGGTTGAGATTTTCAAAGCCAGCTAGTGGATTTCATCACATAACTCATTAAACTTCAAAGGGAGTTGTGTGGCTAAATGCTGTAGTCAGCTTTGAAAGTCTCAGACCCAGTAAACATTACATTAAAGGCCTGATCACATGGCTCTTTTGCAATCAATGAGAATTTAGACAGTGAGGGAACATGGGATCAAGCCACAGTCCAAAAAGATACAGAAGGTAAAACCTTAATTACCACACTTGCTAAAATTAAACTAAAATTATTTCTATTAGTTACAAAACACAAGCACATCTCCATTAAACCTGAATTCTTTGGTATAGTAATAAGTTCCTTAGTGCTTTTTGTTGTGCTTCATTTTAATGACAAGTGGATCAAGTGCTAGGATAACTAAAATAAGGGATGAGTAAATTTTCCAACAGAGCGCCAGGTTTTGGACTTTTGGGGGGGGGAAGGGGAAAGGGGGGTTAAATGTTTATTGAAAAACAGATTCAGCTGTAGGTACAACTCAAATACAGTCTATAATTGGAATAATTTTCTAATGATTTATTGGGATTGAGAACAATAATTGCCTTTCAGAAGATGTGGGGAAAATAATCTATTAAAATGTGCATGACTTGAAGAAAGAATAAAGGTTACGTGAGACTAAGATGCTTTACCACCATTCTACCCTGTAGTTGCATTACAACTCATGGCTTCTAAAATTAAAATCTTAATTATGGAAAGTGAGCAACATTTAAATAGATACATTCTAGTGTTTCATCATTTAGTTGTTTCTTCAGGTATACCAATATTCTTCATAAATATCCTTCCTTATCAAAATATACAGATTAATTTTTAGCAGAGTCGGTTGAACCAAATAATAAAAAAACAAAAAACAACAAAAAAGAACAAAACAAAACAAAAAAACCCGAAACTTTGCCCATTTCCTGTTCCAAATCAGTTTTCTTCCTCACCAATCCTCCAAAAGATTCATGCTCTTTTCTTCATGACTCGCCAAATAGCGTAATTTAGTCACTCATTATTTGGACAGGTCTGCAACCTTTGATCTTGGAGTTTTCACTCAAATGGGTTGGCATCTTTGGGAAGTCAGTATTTAATATTTCTCATTTTCACCCTGTCACAGGGCGACTGGTCCCTATAAGAGGAGTAAGGTCCTGTGCACCTGTTACTGATTACCTGCTCCCCAATTGGGCTTAAGGGAAAGCAACTGGGCCTTATAAATGGAGAGACAGCCGATGGGTAGGGACTACCCAGGGCTGACACTCAAGTCAGGGAGGAAAAGAAAGAGAGGAGAGCTGCTGTTGTTGAAAAAAGCTCAAGAAGGAAGTAGCTGGAGAGTGGTCTGAGATTTCCTGCAGTATTCTGACCAAACCTTAATGAATTAAGTTTAAGTATCTTAGAAGTGTTTTGTATTAAAAATGCAAATGTTTATGTATTATTTTGGTACTGTATGTAACATCTCCAGCAGGCAGACATGACCAGTGTAATCCCTCGGAAGTGTTATGGGCTTCAAAAGATTACTTAAAGCAATGTGCCACCCAAGAATGGACTTTTGGAATAAAAGTTAAGTGGATTTCCCAGGCAAAGAATTCAGCCTTTTGAAGCTTTGCCCTGAGGGGACCTTTGTCTGCTGATAACCTGTTACGTGAGGACAAGATCAGAGGCCCAAACTGTATAAAGGAGTGACTCTCCAATTCATTTCATGGGTGTGCTTGTTCTGAGCCAAGGCAGTTATGAATGTGCAACCACAGAAAAATTCCTTGATGGTGTTTGAAGGACTGTTCACCTGCCAGAGCCCTTGAAATTAGGAGTGGTCTCTGGTAAACTAATTAGCATGCCTGTAGGCTGTTTTAATAGGTTCTCTCTAATGTTTTCACCTTAAGAATAAATATGTTTGCATAGAACAGGGAGTGTGGTAACTTAACTGTGAGAAATTATGCTGGTAATAGCTTCTGAAGATAAAGCAAAGCAGGCTTGCTTAAGCAGTCTGACTTGCCCGGGAACTCACAGTGTTGGCAGGGAGTTATAAAGCCTGGAAAAATCCAGGTCAGAAGGGAGAGACATGTGTCTCTCTGTTCAAGAGATGACAACTGAGGAGCCAGGAGCCTAGATGGGTGCCCTTGCTGGACCACAGGTGGAGCTGTCCAGAACTGTGACAGAGTGACCTGAGAAGCCAACAAATACAGGTCCAAGAAAGGGGCTTGCACAACCTCCCGATCTCAAGGGGAGAGACTGAATCTGCGCCTAGCATCAAGGCTTGGAGCCATACAGATCTCAGGAAGGAGGAGCTGTTTAGGAAGAGACTATTTTGATAAGCTTGGGAGACTAGGATGGAGGAGACTGTACTTTGGGTTTATTTTATGTTAATAAACCAGATCCCAAGAAGAGGAGTTATCGACATAAACCTCTATGGATTATTCCTGGGAACTTGTGAAAGGGAAATTGAGACAGGGCACCATAGAGCCACACACAACCCAGGAGCTGCTGCTGCAGGGCAAGCCCACCCTTTTACACACCCCAAGTTAGCTCACTTCATATCCTCAGGTTGGTCCAGATTCTGGGCGCATGGGGCTCAGTGGGGAGGGGATGTAGGTGCAGGTGGCTTGTCAGGGTGATCCAGGTGCAGGGGGGAGTGGGGCTCATTGGAGGGGTTCTGAATGTGGGGAGTGAGGATCAGTGGGAGGGTCTGGGTATGAGGGGTTCTGGATGCACAGGGCTTGGGTGAATAGGGGAGCAGCTCCCTGTACAGAGATCCCTCACCCTGAAGCTGAGAAATGATAGGTGCAGGAAGTGGGGGTGGGGCAGGGAGTTTGCAGAGCTGCCTGCAGCTCTGGGCGAAATATGGGGGTGGGTCTGACCCAGCCCCAGATGCCATGCAGGGGAAGAGGAAGTCCTGATCTCCCAAGTCCAGCCAGGACTAGCAGCTGAACCCGGTGCAGGATATGGAGCTGGGTCTTCCCCTGTCCTGCCCCCCTTCACCACAGTAACTTATCTCTTTGCCAGTTGTCCTGGACCCCAAAAACATACTGCCGGAGAGGGTTGCATGACCGCTCTTGTGGCTTCCCCCTCAGAAAGTCATTTTTCTGCAGGGAAGCGAAGAAATCTTAGGGGGGGACATAAATTCTGTGCATGTGCAGTGGTGCAGAATTCCCCCAGGAGTAATTGAGCCTTGGTGGATTGAAAGTTTAACCAAAACTTCTACTGCTGCCCTAACATGCTAAATTAGAGGTCTCTTTAACATGTCTAAAGTTGAGCATCCAAAATTGCTAGTCACTATTATAAACTTAGCCTACGAGCTACTGTGCAGTGAAGATGGCCTTTGTTAATGTTAACCCTGAGGGACAATTTATATCTTCAGGTTCATTCACCCAGACATAAAGCCAACATACGTATTTGACCTCTATTCTGAAGGTTTCCATCAAAAACCACCACTGAATTTCTCCATTATGGTCATAAACTGCCACTTAATGAATTTTGTTTTAAATTAACACTCTAAAGGGGCAAAGCCAGAGCTTCAAAAAATAATGACATGATAATGAACCATTCACACTGCAGAGTTTTGCACATGCCATCTGACAACAATATGAATTCAGGAGAGTCACTGACCGAGGATCCTGGAAGGAATCAGCATTTGCTAAATGGTCATTGTGCACTGGATACTGTTCATCTGAGGAAAAGTCACACACTGCAGATTCATCAATTCTAAGGCCAGCAAGAACCATTGTGATCATCTAGTCTGACCTCCTGCATATCACAGGCCAGTAACACAGGTCCATAGAAACTACCTTTCAAAGGGATCATTTGCAGTCAGGTCGGTAGCCAAGAGTCTCTTCATGTAAATATACAACATGGACTATGTATGAATATTTTGAAATAAGTTTAGAAAGAAAAAAAACACATTTCTGAATATTTGCACCACCTATTCAGTCTACAGAAACATGAGAATTACTTCCAAAGGGGCTAACACATTGGCTTCCAAGTCATATTACAAAATAAGTGTAACACATACTTGTTACACCACTGGCCAAGGTCTTACCTGTACCCGCTGAACATCCTCTATGTATTGTTTCTGCGTTTCCAAGATAGCTGCTTCAAACTCTGGATTGAAAAGGAAATACAGATTCAGAAAGTTTTCAAGAGAAGTTTCATTCAACATGAACATAACATAAGAACGGCCATACTGGGTCAGACCAAAAGCCCATCTAGCCCATCTTCTGATAGTGGCCAATGCCAGGTGCCCCAGAGGGAATGAACAGAACAACAGGTAATCAAGTGATCCATCCCCTTTTGCCCATTCCCAGCTTCTGGCAAACAGAGGCTAGAATACCATCCCTGCCCATCCTAGCTAATAGCCACTGATGGACATATTCTCCATGAACTTAGCTAGTTTTTTTTTTTGAACCCTGTTATAGTCTTGGCCTTCACAACATACTCTGGCAAGGAGTTCCACAGGTTGATTGTGCGTTGTGTGAAGAACTACTTCCTTTTGTTTGTTTTAAATCTGCTGCCTATTAATTTCATTTGGTGACTCCTAGTTCATGTGTTATGAGGAGTAAATAACAACACTTCCATATTTAGTTTCTCCACACCAGTTATGAGTTTATAGACCTCTATCGTATCTCCCCCCCCCCAGTTGTCTCTTTTCCAAGTTGAAAAGTCCCAAACTTATTAATTTCTCCTCAGATGGAAGCTGTTCCATACCCCTAATAATTTGTGATTACCTTCTCCAATTCCAATATATCTTTTTTGAGATGGGGCAACCACATTTGCACACAGTATTCAAGATGTGGGCATACCATGGATTCATATAGAGGCAACATGATATTTTCAGTCTTATTATCTATCCCTTTCTTAATGATTCCCGACATTGTCAGCTTTTATGACTGCCACTGCACTTTGAGTGCAGATGGTGCTTAATCTTTCAGAATACAAGTTAAAGGGACCTTAGCAAGGGGGGATTTTTTCAAAAAATAAGAATGGTTTTCCTTTTTAAATGAATTGAATAATTTTTATATATAACTACAGCCTTCCTCTTTTCAGATTGCATAGCATTCACTAAGACCCACCATTAGTTAAAGTGTATCCTCTTAAATGTTTTATGAATAAACTTCACTGTCACCATCAACAATTTATTTTTCCCTTTGTCAGAAATATTTACCGAGAGCATAGACAACCCTCCCATGGAATACCCCAGGAAGTTTAGGATGAATAAAACTCCCTGGAAAGTCCCCACACTCGGTTTTTCCCATATTGTCCCATTAAGAGGTTGGTCTAGCCACCTTTGGAAGAGCCAGCAGCTCTACTCAATCTCAGCAGATCCTAGATGATCACACAAGTCAAGTGTCAAGTATCAGAGGGGTAGCCGTGTTTGTTGC